AGTCAAAGTGGCACAAGTACGAGGTCATCTCTGATCTTTGTCCCTGTCCCTACACAAAGACAGGTGAAATGAGAATCCACCCAAGCTGAGGGTCTCCAGACTCCATGGTCTTCTCAGAATGCTACTGGGGTTCTGAGGCATCTCCTACACCCATCTTGAGAAGGGGTTGGAAGGAAAAATTCTGTCAGCTTTGTATCCTGGGCTAAAGTCACTGGTAATCAAGACGTCTCATTTGGCATCCCCGATATACAGCACAGCCATACCTTTGGGTTCTGAGCTCATGGGTACAACCAAGCAAGGATCAAAAATATTTACACACACACACACACACACACACACACAGAGAGAGAGAGAGAGAGAGAGAGAGAGAGAGAGAGAGAGAGAGAGAGAGAGAATGAATTTAAAAAAATAAAATTTCTGGAAAGATAAAGAATTTCCACATTAGGTACAATAAGTACTATGGAAGTAACAAGGTTTGTGGGAGGAAAAAAGAAAAAGAGAAGAAAAATATACAGAAGAATACATAGGTTGTGTGGAAACACAATGTTATTCTAGAAAGAGCTCGAGTACCCGCCAGGCTTTGGTATCCACAGAGCTCCTGAAAAGCGTCCCTCATGGGAATCTTGGGGCAGTTAATGCTACTGGAGCTGGCTGTGGTGGCACCCGTATGCCTACCCATAATCCCAGCACCTGGGAGTTGAGGCAAGAGAATTGTGAGTCCCAGGTCAGCCTGACTACACGATGAGACCCCATCTAAAACACAAACAAACAACAAAAAGCAAGAAAGATGTGCTATCCAGCTGTCCTAAGGTACCAATAAACACAAACTGTCTGTCTGAGGTAAGGACATATTTCTATCTTCTGAGGTGGGGGTTGGGGGCTTGTCATGAGGCTCGGAGGAACCTAAGGGGGGGGTTCCTTAAGACTGAGTGGGGTGTGGTCTGTCTGAGAAGCTAGCTCACAGTGGGAGCACGCTGGACCAGGAGGTCAGTCCTTCAGCAACTAGATGGTTACTAGCTTGCTGCAGCATTTTCTTTGGAAAGCACGGGGGCAGGGATAATCTGTCTCTGATCATGCCCCATCCAGGAGTTATTAGCTAAACTTATTCCATGCGGTATGGCTGCTCCCTGGGAGACATGAATAAATTCTGCTCATCCCAATTAACGGTACCAACGACATGTTAGAGTGTGTCTGACTGAGCGAGCCAGTGAGTTGTTATCCCACCTCAGTAGGTAGAAGGACGTCTTCACAGCTGCAGAGAGGGTGACTCCCTTTCTATTAACCGTCCGCTCTATACCCGAGCAGCCTTGGACGCAGCAACTGGGGCAGAATCACACGCATCTAGGAGGAGGCAAAAGTGTGCGTGTGTGTGAGAGAGAGAAAGTGTGTGTGTGTGTGTGTGTGTGTGTGTGTGTGTGTGAGAGAGAGAGAGAGAGAGAGAGTGAGTGAGTGTGGGTGAGTGGGAGTGTGTGTGAGTGTGCATGTGTGAGTGACTGTGAGTGTATGTGTGTGGAGTGTGTGTGAGTGCATGTGAGAGAGTATATGTGAGTGAGTGTGGATGTGAGAGAGAGTGTGTGTGTGAGTAGTGTGTGTAAGTGTATGTGAGTGTGTGAGTGAGTGGGTGTGGGTGAGTGTGAGTGAGTGGGTGTGAGTGAGTGAGAGATAGTGTGTAAGAGAGTGTGTAAGAGTATTGTGTGTGTGTGTGTGTGAGAGAGAGAGAGAGAGTGTGTGTGTGTGTGCCTGTATGTGTGATTTCAGGTGAGATCTAACAACCCTTCCCACCCTCTCCTTCTATGAGGAAATGTCAATAGTCAGTGGATCTGATCTTGAAGCCATAGCTGCTCTAATGACGATGGCAATGATTCCATGCTCCAAGGACAAACCCCACAGCTGTGCCCCACCCCACAGTGTGAGGAGCACATGTGAGGTACACACTTAAGTGCTGTGTGCTATTTGGGCTGGTTTTAATGTCATTTGAATAAGGAACCTCCCCCGAAGACTGCCTGCCTCAGTTGACTAGAGAGGACCCACAGCAACCGCAGCCCAGACCAGAAGGGTGTGACAGAAGGAAGATGTCTCCTTTGCTCACCTGGACTTCTCTCCTGTGGCTGAGCTAATCTGTCCTGTGCTGCTACAGGAGCCGGTGTTCCAGCCTGGACTGAGGACTGGCTGCTCCCCAGGGAACTTCCAGGTCCTCGGCGCCAAGTCAGGATCACTGAGGCACCCAGCCTTGGTGAACTGAGCAACTACTGGGCTGTCAACCTCATCAGTGAGAGAAGCTACTGGACTCCTCCAGTGCTCAGGTGCCCAACCTCAAGGATCAAGCAACTACCAGGTTCTCAGGCTCCCAGTTGTCAGATAAATCCTATTACTATTTTAATGTAAACTGACCTAACAATTAATATATGTACACACACACACACACACACACACACACACACACACACACACACACAC